GTGTTGTTTATCTGTGTCTCTCAGCTGTCCAGAATGAGCGCGACCGAATCAGCTGTCGGCGAGAAAATCAAGGAGTCGGGACTCTCACCATCGATGTGCTGATGCAGGCAGAGGCGTACACTCATCAGGTCAGCTTTCTGATCAGTTCATCATCTAAACAATAATTTTTAAGAGAATTGTCTGTCCAAGACATTTAAATACCTATTATACAGTTAAAGTCAAAACTATTAGCCCCCCTTTGAATTTCCTTTTCTTTTTGTAATATTTCCCAAATTATGTTTAGCAGAGCAAGAAATTTTTCACAGTATGTCTGATAATATTTTTTCTTCTAAAGAAAGCCTTATTAGTTTTATTTTGACTGGAATAAAAGCAGTTTTTAATTTATTTAAAAGCATTTTAGGGTCAATATTATTAGCCCCTTTATTGATTGTCAACAGAAGAAACCTGTTATACAAGGTCTTGCCTAATTAGCCTAACTCACCTAGGTAACCCAGTTAAGCCTTTAAATGTCACTTTAAGCTGAATACTAGTATCTCAAAAATATCTAGTCAAATATTATTTACTGTCAAAAAGGAAAGTAATTAAATGCTATTTTTAAATAAGTTAAAGTTTTATTGAGATGGATTGTTGGTGATTGTAGGGGTTTTAGAGGCCAGATTTAGTAGCTATACATAAACAAAGCAAACTTAAGACCTGTTTAAAAAGATTTAAGACCTACAACACAATATTACTGTGGATTTAAGACTTTTTATGGCCTAAAATTTAGTTTTTGAGATTTAAGACATTATAACATTTTTAGACCCTGCAGATATACGGATATACACCCCTGGTATACAAATTAAATAAAAAAAATTAGATTTATTTTTCAAATGTTTCCCAAATTCTGTTTAACAGAGCAAGGATTTTTTTCACAGTATTTCCTATAATATTTTTTCTCCTGGAAAAGATCTTACTTGTTTCATTTCGGCTAGAATAAAAGCAGTTTTTAATTTTTTTAAAACCATTTTAAGGTCAATATTATAAGCCCCCTTAAACAATATAGTTTTTGATCGTCTACAGAACAAACCATGATTATACAATGACCTGCGTAATTAGTCCAACTTAAACTAATTAAGACTTTAAATGTCACTTTAAGCTGAATACTATTATCCTAAAAATATCTAATCAAATTTTATTTACTGTTATCAAGGCAAAGATAAAATAAATCAGTTATTAGAAATGAGTTATTAAAACTATCATGTTTAGAAATGTGTTGAAAAAAATCTCTCAATTCAACAGAAATTGGGGGAAAAAATATGCAGGGGGGCTAATAACTCAGACTTGAACTGTATATGAAGTCGTTCTGCCGTCTCCAGAGCCTGTCTCAGAATCTGATGAGGGATGTCGGCAGTAAGAAGATCGCCGGCGTGGGTGATGTCTGTGAATCCATGAAGCAGCAGCTCCTCCTGCTAGTTGAATGGGCGAAACGCATCCCTGAATTCTGTGAGCTCTCGGTGGATGACAGGGTACGTGTGTGTATGTGTGTGTAACATATTTTACCTCATGGGGACATTTGTTAGTCCCCCTTAGGAAAACGGCCCAGAAATCATACAAAATGAAGTATTTAGAAAATGTAAAAATGCAGATTGTTTTGCTGAGAGAATTGGGTTTCGGGGTCAGGTTGGGGAAGGAGGACAGAATAGCCTGTACAATATAAAAATCATTACGTCTATGCAAAGACCATATAAAATGAAAAAATTCAACATTTTTGTGTGTGTGTGTGTGTGTGTGTGTGTGTGTGTGTGTGTGTGTGTGTGTGTGTATGTGTGTGCGTGCGTGCGTGCGTGTGCGTGTGTGTGTGTGTGTGTGTGCAGGTGGCGCTGTTGCGAGCTCACTCTGCAGAGCATCTCATTTTAGGAGTGGCACGACGTTCACTTCCCTACAGTGACATCATCCTGCTGGGTGAGGCAATCGGGACCCTTGAAAATAGGCCTGCTGTTATTCAGTGCATTTTCATATCTCAACCATACTGTAAATAATCATGATACAGCAGGGAAAATAAGTATTGAACACGTCATGTTTTTTTCCTGGGAATAATATTTCTAAAGGAGCTGTTGACATGGAATTAAACCAGGGGTCTGTTCTTCGTACGTGGATTACTCAATTAGATGGATTTGGATGTTGACGATGTGACACAATCCAGGATCGTTTCGTTCTTCAAAACTCATCTGAGACTTGTTGTCGTAGTAACAGTTCTGGTAGCTCAAACCTGCATAGAAGCAGGTTAATTTCATATAAACAGGATTAGATTGGCTCAGTTCAAGCAAATATAATACAGAAAGTATGTAGCAAATGCGGATATTTTCTTACATTAGTTATATACACTTGGAAAAATAATAACTATATATATATATATATATATATATATATATATATATATATATATATATATATATATATATATATATATATATATATATATATATATATATATATATATATATATATATATATATATATATATATATATATATATATATATATATATATATATATATATATATATATATATATATATATATATATATATATATATATATATATATATATATATATATATATATATATATATATATATATATATATATATATATATATATATATATATATATATATATATATATATATATATATATATATATATATATATATATATATATATATATATATATATATATATATATATATATATATGTGTGTGGGTGTGTGTGTGTGTGTGTGTGTGTGTGTGTGTGTAAGTTATATATATATTTACACACTATATATATATATATATATATATACACACTCACCAGCCACTTTATTAGGTACACCTCATTAGTAGCGGGTTGGACCCCCTTTTGCCTTCAGAACTGACTTACTGCTTCGTGCTAAAGATTCAACAAGGTACTGGAAATATTCCTCCGATTTTGCTCCATAATGACATGATAGCATGACGAAGTTGCTGCAGATTTTTTTGCGAACCTTCCATTCCACCACATCCCAATGGTGCTCTATTGGATTGAGAACTGGTGACTATGGAGGCCATTTCGCCACCTTGGAATTATAAGGTTCTCTCTGCGTTCTGAATAATTTTGAGATATTGAGCTTCAAAGTTTTGAGTTCCATATAGCAGTATGTATGTAACATTTGTTTTTGTTTTTTTTAATAAAAAGTCTTAAAATATAAACAACTTTAAAAATAAAAATATCTCATTATTTTAAGTTGTTATTTAATAAGAATATGTCAATAACTCAATTTTGACAAATATGTCAGATAGAACCTTATAAATCTGAGGTGACCATTTGAGTACAGTGAACTCATTGTCATGTTCAAGAAATCAGTCTGAGATGATTCGTGCTTTATGACATGGCACGTTATCCTGCTGGAAGTAGCCATCAGAAGATGGGGGACACTGTGGTCATAAAGGGATGGACATGATCGGCAACAATACTCAGATAGGATGTGGTGTTGACAAGATGCTCAATTGGTACTGATGGGCCCAAAGGGTGGCAAGAAAATATCCCCCGCACCCCTACACCACCACCACCAGCCTGAACTGTTGATACAAGGCAGGATGGATCCATGCTTTCATGTTGTTGACCCCAAATTCTGACTCTACAATCTGAATGTCGCAGCAGAAATCGAGACTCATCAGAGCAGGCAACATTTCTCTATTCTTTTATTTTCCATTTTTGGGGAGTTTGTGCGATTTGTAGCCTCAGTTTCCTGTTCTTAGCAGGAGTGGCACCCTGTGTGATCTTCTGCTGCTGTAGCCCATCTGCCTCAAGGTTGGAAGTGTTGTGTTTTCAGAGATGCTCTTCTGCATACCTCAGTTGTATCGAGTGGTTATTTGAGTTACTGTTGCCTTTCTATCAGCTGGGACCAGTCTGGCCATTCTCCTCTGACTTTTGGCATCAACAAGTTAACTATAACTACTGTATTAACAACAGTATGTTGTGTCTAAAACCATTAGTCATTCAGTAAATTCCTCCAAAGTTTATATCTTCATAAGAACTTTTTTAAAGCATACTAGTTCTTTTTCACAAAGGTAAAAGCTCACAAAGCTCATATTACAGTGCATGTCAAAAACTGTCTTTCCACACTGTTTATTTCTCCAAAGAAACTCTATAGAAGAAACATCTGAGACCAAGTTCAATCAGAAGCCTAAGACGTCTGAATTATGAAACGTTCCTCTGAGTTGCCGCAGTGCTGATTTAGGATCAGTGTATAAAAACTCTTGGATTTCGGTGGTCCAGAAACATCGTGGAGAGTTACCGTAGACCATCTCCAGTGTAAACATCAGTGAACTCAAAGCTGGTTAAGATTCCATAGGAGATCCCGGTCCGGAGTCCATCAGTCTCAGTCTAAGCTCTTAGGTTTAGGTTAAGACCCATCATTAGTTCTCTGAGGGAGCCGAGGCTCTTTTGCGGCCTTACCTGCAGTTAAAGTATGAACAGGTCGGAATTGAAATAAAACAGGAACTTTTCTGCCTCTCTGTAGAGTCCAATGCTGAGCCGCTTCTATTCAGCACGGCTACAGAGTCTGTTCTCTCCAGAGGGATCCTGACGGAGCACATCCCGATGCCGAACTTCACATCTGTGATCCTCCCTGTGCCCCCTTGTGAGTATCACTAGATCAGACTGTCAGTCCTTTACAGTTTAAAGGTTCAGGACACCCTGGAGAACTTTTTTTTATATATTAACAGATTTGTGCGTGTCGAGCATCAGTTAAGACAATGTTAGCACCTGTCAGCTTTAATTGTGGGGAAAACTGGATAATTTGGAGCTTTTGTCAGCTAATTTCAACTTCCGGGTTTAAAATGATTTTTGGGGAGGGATCAAAATCGGCGACGTAGCGAAGTACCGCAAGTGCAATGATGGCGCGTCGGTTTCTCATTATTATTCATAGCGGAGTTTCCTTATCCTATGAGAAGAGCCGGCTGCTTAATTATTCATGAGAGCATGACAGCACGCGCTTTCCGAAGGCAAGGCAGACGCAGACCTGCCAGACCAGTGCCAAGCTCAAGCTGTGAGACACGGAACCACGGGCACGCAGTAGCCGTTCATGAAGGCTCGTATGTGTTTGTTTCCATAATCCGCAGGGTTTGTTGCATGTTTCTCCCCGCGATCCTGTCAGGGCCGATCATACAGCAAAGCTGTGTGTGTGATGCAAGCATTTTTGTCGGGAGAGCAGCACGAGAATTGGAGAATGGCGGATGTTGTCTTGTATCAGGAGTTCATTCACATTCAGACACATCGCCGAGCTGCTGTGTTTGCCTAAATCCTCCAGATTACCAGCAGGACTAATGGTTAAAATAGACAGGTCAGGAGACCTGCTGCACTGAGTCTGCATTTAGATCTATGATTCAGACCCGGGGATTGAGGGAGAAGTCCTCATTTATAGTGTTTATATAAGCACGATTACCTTTATAATGATATAAATTGTGGTTGTCTGTATATGAAATGACGAATAACAAATGTAGCAGGGCATTAAATTACTGTTTATTTCTTTGCATTTTAACTTTGTAAACTATAAACTCATGCGTCTCCTCACGGTTTGTCTCCATTTGTGAGCTAACTGACTCCATTTGTGAGCTAACTGACATCTACAGTTGTTCGCTCCCCTTCTCCCCTGCTGGCCACGCCCACTCCTGCACGATGTTCGCGGAGCTCCACGCCCATTAATCATGCATCTTTTGAAAAAATTCTGAAGTAGACTTTAACCGAAAGTGGGGGGTGTCATGGCCCTTTAAAAGGATAGTTCACTCAGAAGATCAACATTCTGTCATTGTTTTCTCATCATCGTACATGACAAAAATAAGTTCATATTAGAAACAAAATACAAGTTCATATTAACATTTAGCATATAAACAAAATGTCAGACAATACCTGACAGAAGTCTTGTCATCAATCCCAGTAACAAATAATAACTCGACTTCTAGTTGATCATTTGGTAATATGGCAGAAGGTCGACTTTTTTGATGAATCATCTGTTGAACTGCATCCCAATCATCACAAATACTGCAGAAGACCTGTTGGAACCCACATGGACCAAAGATTCTCATAGAAATCAGTCAAGTTTGGTGAAGGAAAGGTCATGGTTTGGGGTTACATTCAGTATGGAGGTGATCTGCAAAGTGGATGGTAACGTCAACAGCCTGAGCTAGACATTTGTGCTGCTCATTACCTTACAAACCACAGGAGAGGGCAAATTCTTCAGCAGGATAGCGCTCCTTCTCATACTTCAGCCTCCATCAAAGTTCCTGAAAGCAAAGAAGATCAAAGTTTTCCAGGACTGGCCAGCCCAGTCACAAGAAGTGAATATTATTGAGCATGTCTGGGGTAAGATGAAAGAGGAGGCATTGAAGATGAATCCAAAGAATCTTGATGAACTCTGGGAGTCCTGCAGGAACGCTTTCTTTGCCGTTCCAGATGACTTTATTAATCAGTGATTTGAGTCATTGCAGAGATGTATGGATGCTGTCCTCAAAGCTCATGATGGAGTCAGACACAGTATTTATTCTGTTTCCACAGCACCATGACTTTATATTCTATACTAGACATTATTTCTTTGACAAGACTTTTAACTAGGCAAAGTTAGACCTTTCTGTCCCAATTAAATCATAAAAAATCAAAGCATGATCATATTTTATTTTGGTAAAATAAGTGTAATCTAGAGGCCTTTGCCCTTCATATAAGCCACTTCTGAAACCAAATGATCAACTAGAAGTCAAGTTATTATTTGTTGTTCCTGAAACTTTTGTCAGGTAGTGTACATGCAACATATCTTTCGAAATATTGCAAAAATAGCTGTTTACTTTTTTTTTTCAAGTTTAACAGGATAGTTCACATTTAAAAAAATCCCTTCTGTCATTGTTTACTCATCATCATGTCAAACTTATTAAACCCACATAGAAATCGTATATGGCAATATGTGCAAAGTACATATATGACATAGAACTTCATATTATGATTTATAAAATGTCATATATGCAATGTATATTTTGAAATATTGCAAAAATGTCTGCTTTCATTCAGTATACATTTTTTAAGTTTAAAAGGTTAGTTCACTCAAAAAAAAAAAACATTCTGTCATTGTTTACTCGTCATCATGTCAAATTTATTAAACCCACATAGAAACCTGATGTACAGCAATATATGCAAAGTACTTGACATACAAGTTCATATTGTGGTTTCACATACAGCTGAAGTCCCGCATCATCCAATCCATGATTCTCCAATCAGATGATTCCTAAGCTACTATAAATACCCTAAGCTCTATACAACAGCCATCTTCATTTCCCCCCATCCACCCCTTTCCTAGATTGGTGGCACGACGGCCCAGTGGTTAGCACTGTAGCCTCACAACAAGAACGTCACTGGTTTTAGTCCTTACCAAGCCAGCTGCTGTTTATGTGAAGAGTTTACACGTTCTCATGCTTGTGTGGGTTTTCCCTGGGATCCCCGGCTTCCTCCCACCATCCAAAAACATCCAACTTAAGTTAATCGACTAATCCAAATCGCCACCATAGACATGCTCTTAGTAAGTAGTTATCTCCTAAGAGCAATCACTATCTGTTCATTAGCAACTACAGCGCGGGAGTTCTCCAGATCTACCTGAGCTCAAACTCCCCTCTTACCTTGCAAATGGGAGGGAGCCCGGGGCTCGAGGATCCTGTGGGCTCAGGGCTCTCTCCCAGGACAGCATGTCAAACAAGCTTTATAATCAGTCATCAGCTAAGTGTGAACTCTTGAAATACATTAAGCTTATTTACTGTCAACCAACACTTTAAAAAAAGTTGACTCAATTTAAAGGCAACTTGCTGCACAGCTATTTTGGGTTGACTCAACTTTTTACCCAAAATATTGAACTGCAGCAAGTTGCCTAACGATTTTAAGTTAGGTGAACTTTTACTTTACAGAGAAGTAACAATGATTTACTGTAGGATGTTTACAGTTTTTTACCGTTAAAGTCACAGACTTTTTTAGAGTGTATTCTCTGATTAAAAAAATAAGAAAGGCTAGAATCTCGTGCCATAATATTAGTTTCTGATAAAAAAAATAATTTAAAAAAAACATGTGACAGATGTTCAAGGCATACCGCGATTTGTAAAAGTCAAGGTTTTTAAACCGTCAAAATTTTCTGCTATACCATTCCTAAGGTATGAGTAAGAATTTTTATTTTCATTTCTTTGTTGTTTTTTAGAACAGCAGTATCTCCAGCAGATAAGATCTCCAAAGATGTTGTTTGAAATTGTAAATAAATCAGTATTTTTTAAAACAAATGAACACAGCAGAAGTCGAAAATTCATTTAAATTCTTTATTCGAAATATTTTACATTTTTTTCTCAGATTAAAACATATTGAGTACAATGGGGAAAAAGGTTTTGTTTTTTACCCAAACATTCAAAAAGAATATATTTTAGAGCAGTAATCTCAATACCGTGATACCGTATAACCGTGATATTTATTTGCAAGGTTATCATTTGTCAGAATCTTATACCAGCCCATGCCTCGTGAAAGAACGATGATTTATATCCACCTGCATGTGCCTGTTTATCAGAACCATTAGGTTAGCCATTCCAGGGCAAATGTGAAGTTTATTAGTAAAGGACTTTTCCAGCCTGATCTCACGAGAAAACGTAAGTATTTTATGTTTTGCCAGTTTCGTGGCTAATTCGTACGAATTCGCACGAGTTCAGTCGTACAACATTGTACGATTTTAAAAAGGAGGCGTGGCACCTAAAGGCTGATTTATACTTCTGCGTCAAATGCCGTTGTATGCTACGGCGCTGGCACAAAGCCCTTCACCGTGGCCGTCGGCGTCACTGACGTGCACCTCTCAAAAAATGTAACTACACGTCTCAACAACGCGTAGCGCAAGCTCTGTGATTGGTCGGCTTGGTAGCGCTGACGAGTCTGGGCGGGACCGAGAGCCGCGCGAATGGCGTGAGCGATTGTTTACAAGTGTGGAGTTCCGTGAAGGAGCTCCGGATGGAAAGTTATGTTTTGTGTTTACCTCACAGTTAAAGTTGTTGCACGTCCGCCGGTTCCTGCCTCAAAATGAGCGAGTTTGAGCCACTTGTACAAACAGGAAGTGTTCAGGAAAAGCAAAACAGAAGCGAAGAAACTCAACACAGAGGAACATTTACACCTCACTGCCAACTAGCGTTTCGGAAGTGTTAATGCAGACCAATTGAGACAGCGCGCAGAAGTATAAATGCACAGCTACGCACGTTGCATGCGCCGTGGGTTACGCCGGTCACTTGACGCAGAAGTATAAACCAGGCTTAACCCCACCCCTAACCCAAACCGTCATTGGGGGATGAGCAAATCATACTAAATTGTACGAATTAGATCGTATGAATTCATACGAATCAGCCACTAAAAGAAAAAGTTACGAATTGCCGTGAGATTGTGTTGGACTTTTCACATTGAATACCATATACAGTACACAGTAATACAAGTGTTTTCCATTTATTTACTATTGTGAATTGCATTGTGGGATGTTGAGCTCTGCTCTCTTGGCTCTTAATGTTGAAAATTCAACTCTACAATTTAACAAAGTGACTTTTGTTGACATTTAGTAAGTGTAAAATAACAGAAAATGTGTCGGTGCCAGTAGTCTAGTATATGGTACCAACATGCTTACGGTGACCCGAGCTCGATGTCCTTTGCTGATCCTTCCCCTCTCTCTTCTCCGAATACTTTCCCATCTAAATTCTCTACTGTCCTATCATAATAAAGGTAAAAAAAAACCTATAAATAATAATAACAGAAAAAGTACTGGCAGTCTATTACAAGGTTTTTGTATCGTAATATATAACACAAACCTAGAAAATTTATCATTTTAAACTATTAAAAAAGGCACTTTTTTGGAACTTTTCAAGGTTTAAAGTCGTTGGAGGAAAGATCAAGATCCCATAATTCAAAAGCATAAATACATAGGGGCAAATGAAAAAAACTACTAACTAACCTATACATTTAGGTTGATAACATGAACTAATAATGAACAATACTTGTACAGCATTTTTTAATAATAGTTCAACATTTACTAATGCATTGTTAAAATCCAAATTCATGCATGTTAACATTAGTTAATGTGTCAGGATTTAACATGAACTAACAATGAAATCACTTATTTTTATAACGCTAACATGAACAAATGCTGTAATAAATGCATTATTCATAGTTTGCTCATGCTAGTAAATGCATTACTCCATTAACCTGGATATGTTTTACAGTGTAGTTTAACAAAAAAAAAAAAAAATGCATGTTTGTTTCAATGTTTTTGATTGTGACCTTCTGACTGCAGCAGCTCTGGCCGAAGACGCTCTCCTCTCCACACACACCGAGGTCTTCACACACGGACAAACAGAGGACATGCCAAGAGAAATGCCCAACAGCCTGGCCATGCCAACCGTCCACACGTGCCTTTAACCACATCTGTTTAAAGCTGCTCGGTTACACACAAATGATCAACTTTATATACTTACAGATGCACACAGACACTCAAAATCGAAGTTGCTATTATTATTATTATTATGAAGCATCGACTGATATGTGTAAAATACAGTGTTCAAATCTAACAGTGTTAAATGTTGAAAATTAACAGATAATAAAAAGCCTTCAATCGGTATGTGGATATTTTTGTATTGAGATCGCTGGTAAATGATTGTTTGATTTATTGGATGGTGACATGGAAGGTTGCGTGCGTAAACATTACAGTACAACAGCGCTCATCATGGGTTCATGGTTCAATCAGATACACAAGCACATGAGGGCTGGTCAGTCTGCTTTATGTTTTTACTTGAAATCATAATGAAGATTTATTTTTTTTAAGGCCCGAACATTGTTTTGTTCTGTACGCTCTTAAAAATAAAGGTTCAAATATTGTTTTTCACAGCATTGCCACATTATAATTCAGAGTTTATTTATGCTATCTTTAACTTTCATGTCTTTACAAGCATCAATCCTAATGAAACTCATTCATCTTGCTGAATCTGCAAATTTTTGCTTTAAATGTGTGAAATATAATGGAGATTTGTTTAGGAATAAACATCTATGTTTTGTTATGCACACTTAAAAATAAAGGTTCCTAAAATAGTTTTTCATTGCATTGCCACATTATAATTCACTCACTTTTAATTTAAATTCATTCATCTTAAGGATTTTGTGCATCTTGGCTGCATCAATGCAAAACTGCATATATTTGTGGAAACTTTCTTTGTTGTGGGAAGAAGAAGACAGGGTCAGCGATAAGGTAAGTGAAAATGTTCTTTATTTTTAAGTATTCAATAGCACAGGGCTCAAAAGTGCATCCGTCTCTCTCTCTATTTCTTTCTCTCAACTGGTCTCTCCTGCTCCCTTAAAGCTGCAATCACATCAGAGTTTGAGCATGCGATATTCTGTCGTGCAGCGCTGCGAACAGGGGCGGGATTAAACAAGTTTATTAGACATTTCAAGAGTTCACACTTAGCTGATAATCAATAAAGCGTATTTGCGTAATATATGCAAAGTAAAGGGATGAAATCAAAAGATGATATATATATATATATATATATATATATATATATATATATATATATATATATATATATATATATATATATATATATATATATATATATA